TGGTGGCCACCCTGCTTCCCTGCTCAGATGACCCCTCCACCAACCAAGCCTGGCCCAGCACCCCTCACCTGCACACACCCTCTCTGGCACAGCCGCCCTCTGCTCAGGCTTGGCACCAAGGGAGAGGGTCCTAAAAGGCTGTCACAGTGGAACCAAGCTTTCTTCCTCTGCTTCCGCCGCCACCTCCTCCTTAGCCAGCGGGCAGCCCAGGCTGGCTCTACCCATGCCATCTCCAATGCCAACCCCCATGCTGTCAGCACCAGGGGCTATGAAAGGAGGTAACTGTTAGAACTACGATGACAGTGGGAACCAACAAGAGGAAGCCCCTCAACTCTCCCTTCCCTGCACACGGGGCTGCAGCCTCTGCCAGTGCCAGACAAACCGCCTTTCATCAACTACTTACCCGATCCTGAGTGAGCTTGGGGTCAGGGGTGAGTGAGGGTTTGGCCACACAAATGTGAGCCAGGAGGGCAAGCTGGAGCTTCAGCCAGGGGTGGGCACAGGGGTGGTAGAGGAAGGTGATATCCTCAGCCTAGAGGAAAGGCACAGAGACATCAAGCCAGGCCCAGGTCCATCCCAGAGAATCTCAAATTCTCTCATCCTAGGGCCAGTTTTTTTTTTTTTTTTTTTTTTGGTCAGGGAACAGACACCAGGCAAGAACAGGGTCAGTTTAAAAGGACTCCCTGGATGGCCAGATGGCCCTTCCACTCTCAAGGCCTCGGATACTGGCCCTAGGTTGTCCCACGTACTCCCTCTTGCCTCTGAGTGTCCCTTTTACCCCGCCTTTCGAAACATCAAGTGCCACTCCTCAAAGCTTACAACTTCTAAGACAGCATGCTTGAGTACCCGTCAGACTCAAACCACATTCTTTTTTTTTTTTTTTTTGAGACAGAGTCTCACTCTGTTGCCTGGGCTACCAGACTAGAGTGCCATGGCGTCAGCCTAGCTCACAGCAACCTCAAACTCCTGAGCTCAAGCAATCCTGCTGCCTCAGCCTCCCGAGTAGCTGGGACTACAGGCATGTGCCACCAGGCCTGGCTAAATTTTTCTATATACTTTTAGTTGTCCAATGAATTTCTTTCTATTTTTAGTAGAGATGGAGTCTCACTCTTGCTCAGGCTGGTTTCAAACTCCTGACCTTGAGCGATCCTCCCACCTTGGCCTCCCAGAGTGCTAGGATTACAGGCGTGAGCCACCACACCTGGCCAGACCCACATTCTTTAGTCACACTTCTCTGGACCTGTAACAATGGCTCTACAGACCCATCTCTAGACTGTAAGCATCCCCCAGATGAAGACCAGGTCTTCTGTTTATCAATCTGAACTACACAATCAGTCTCCCAAGAGAATCCAAATACAGGGCACGCAGGCAGCAGGTGCACAATCTCAGGATGGAAACACCTCATCAATTACTATTCTTTGACTGAATTGAGCTGGTGCTCAGCGATGTGCTTGATGCTATAGGAGATGCCAAAAGAGAACTTCTGGACTAAATTTGTAGGGGATGTATAAGAAACTCAGGGAAACAACTTACGCAAACTAAAGAGCAGACTAATAAAACTCAGTGATTGGTTGTTAAACTGCAAGACACAGATTTGGAGGAGGAGGGGATGAATAAAGGCTGACACGACCAGGCCAGGTCTTAGGAGGGGGCTGACTCGTGAACTGGGCATGGCTGGGGAAGGATGGCAGGAGGGGAGGGAACTGCATGCTCCAAGTTGGGATGGGCCAGGCGTGGAGGAGAATAAACAGGCAAAGGCACTGCGGTGGGAATGAGGCTGGCATGCCCTTATGTGGTGAGCATATCAACTTGACTGGAGAGGAATCAAAGATTTGGAGAGGTCAGGTGGAGGTTATTTTTAACTAGGCTTGAAAAGACATGCAGGAGAGTATGGGCATGGTAAGGTGAGAAATAAGGAGCCATTGATGGTTTCTGAATAGTGGAATGACTTAATGAAAGGGCTGTTTGAGGACAGGAATCTGGTAGGTGGCATGAGGCAACATCTCTTCACTTGGAGCTATTACAGAGGATTAAAACGAAGTTAGATATTTCAAAGGAAAAACCAAAGGGACAGGATAGCAGTGAGGACAGAAGGGCAGCCATGGAAGTGGAACCCCCAGTTTGGAGCCTCGTAACCAGAGGCACAGGACACAACTTTGTGCTGTCCACACCATTAATTCTCCTCTCACAGGAAGGGATAGAATCAATATCCTCCCTTACAGAAAACTGGGGCCCAGAAAGTCAGGGGACTTCCCACAGTCCCACAGGAGAGTGAGGGCCTGGGCTGTGTTTTCCTACTATGTTACCCACGCAGCCAGCTACTCAACAGCATTCCAGAAGCAGCACAGCAGAGGACAGAGACCTACAGCCCACTGTCCTTGGGCCACCTGTCCTGGGGTGGGAAGTGGGGAGGGGGGTCTAGAAACCTTTTCTCTTCCTGAGGGAAGTGGTAAGGACTGGAGCTGATCAGTAGAAAAGGCAGAGGAGGCCTGCCAGGAGCTCGCTGTCCCAGGTGTAGGCGTCAAGGATGGGTCCCTGCCTGTACTTACCTGCCTTGGGCTCACCTGTGTGTACCTCACTCTTGGTGACACCTGTACATGGGAAAAGAAGAGAGCTTAGAGCAGTTGGGGGACTCTGTGTGTTGGGTGAAGAGGGGATAGCAGGACCCAAGCGCCAGGCCGGGATGGAGAAGTTGGCAAATGAAGGCAGGAGGAACCTGCAGAGATCCCCAGAGGGTGAGTGTGGGGGGTGCAGCGAGGCCAGAGCGGGACTGGGCTACCCCTTCACACCCCTCTCTCGCTTGGCCCTCCAGGTCTCCTACCTGTGGGGGCAGAGGCCACAAGCCCTCTGGACAGCGAGCTCCCCGCTCCTCCGCCAGCCCGGCCACCACCTGTGGGTCCAAGGCGCAGGCAGAGCTGGAGCACTGGACGCGGCGAGGGCCCTGCCCTCTCCCTCTCTAGGCCCAGCCCGCCAGCGGGGGAACTCTTAGTCTCCTCTCGGCGCGCCACTCCTTCCAGGACGAACTTTCCGCAAAGCGCTTTGAGATCCCAGGCGAAGCCTCCCCAGGAGCCGGTCGCCTTACCTCACTGGGATCCAGGAGCCTCGCAAGGGCTGCCACTAGAAGCAGCTGGGGCGCTGGCGGAGGAGGCGCCATCCCAGCCCAGCCCGCCGCCCCGCCAGTGAGGGAGCGCGCGCCACCCCGCCCGGCCACCCCGCCCGGCCCCACAGCCCGGGAGTCGCCCGCTCGCCCACGTACACCCCGGGCTCGCGCGCGCCGGCCCGTCCCCGACCCTTGCCCAGACCGCGCGGCCGGACGCCACGGGCTCGCGCGCCCCCGCCGCGCCCCGCCCCCGTGCCCGCCCACAGCCGCCGAGCGTGTGCGCACGCGTGCTAAACCCGGAGCCGGGAAAGTTTTGAGTGCGAGCACGGGGGGCGCGCACCGCGCTGCAGGGCCGGCGGGACCACCTCCCTAGCCCCAGGATTCGTCCCCGCGCGTCTCTGCGGCCTGCAGAGCACAGCTGCCGCGCCCGGGTGGGATCTAGGAGCGGGGTGCAGGGCGGGAAGTGGGATCCCTGTGGATTGGGTGGCCCAAGCCGGGGAGACGGGTACGCTTCGCTGGCAAGCCTGCTTCACATTCGTCAGTGTGATCTGCCACTACAAGAGTGGCAGAGTCATTAAGTCCGAGTCGCCGAAGGGAGAGGGTGCCAGCTCTAGAGCTTCACCGTCAGCCCATCCCACTCCCGCCCTAGCAAATAGGGCTGGAACCCGGAGGAGCCTCGGAGGGTTTCAGGACCCCATCCCCTCCAGACCCGGAAGCTTTGGGAGGCAGGAGCCGCCCCGGGGGCTGCTTTGTTCCCCACCTCCACCCGTGCCCTCGTCGTTCGTCTGGCGGTGGCCCGCGCGCATCCCGAAAGACACTGGCCGCCCTGAGGTGGAGAAGCCACAGGCCTCCTCCCCCTCAGCGAGGAGCGGGGGGCGGACCTTCCCTGCAGCGGGGCGCCGCCTCCGGTACCCGCTCCAGGATTTGGAGGAAAGACGTGGGTAGAGGGCAAGGGTTGAGATGCACAGCCCAAAACTTCGAATAGAGCAAGAACGTGTCGTTGCAGTCGTCTCCCACGAACCCCAACTTACAAGGGGTTCCTCCCCTCCCCCAGTAATTGCCAGTTGCTGAGCGGATGAAGGAACTCCTGTCTGCCCCTGCCACGGCACCCCCTTCGCAGGACACCTGAGTGCGTCCTTTCCCCCAACTTATTCTCGGAGACTTGGAGCTGTTTCTTCTGGGGAGTCCTGGGGAGCGGCGCTGAGGATTCCCTTTATGTGGAGCCAGGCTCTTGGGGAGCCCCACGCTCCCGGGACGGGGCAGCCAGCGGGACAGCGCACTGGCGCGGACCAGGGCACTAGCGGCCGCCCGCCCGCCGCAGCCCGCTGTCGGTCCGACGCCCGCGCGCGCCCTCGCAGGCCGGTGCCGGACCCCCGCCCGGCCGCGTTGTTGCGCAGTTGCGGTGCCCGCGCTGGGGTGGGGGAGGCCAACGCCGACCTCAGAGAGCGCGGCCGGGAGCCCAGAGCCCGCGCCAGGAGCTACGATTTATTCACTTCTCCCTTTTGCTGTTTCTCAACATTGGCCTCTAAGGACGCAGCGACCCAGGTCTCCCCTGCCAGCCACAGACCGAGCGGGGCGCAGGGGCGGGGGCAGGGGACTCCGATGCTCTCCCGGGCCCCCGAGCCCCAGTCTCCCGGTCTCCCCACTTCTCTGCTGCCAACACCGCTCTCCCCGGTGCCCTCCCCACTCCCTTCCGGCTGGCTGGAGCGTCCTCACCCCTCCTCTGTGGCCCCGGCTCCTTTCACCCCCTGCTCCTGCTTGTCGCAATCGCTGTACAAAGGGCCGGGGGCGGGAGTCGGGGGCGGGCGTGGGGAGCCGGGCGCGAACTGGCTGCCTGTGCGGGGCCGCGGCCAATCCGGAGCGCGCCCGCCCGCCGCCCGCCCGCGCGGGAGGGCGCTGGGCAGCGGGCGGCAGCCGGGCAGAGCTGCGGGCAGAGCGAGGCGCTCCACGAGGGGACGGCCTCGCCGCCCGCCGGGGCGCTTCTGACTCGCCATGTGGGGCGCCGCCCTCGCGCTGCTCCTGGCGGTGCTCGCCCTGGTCAGCCTTCTTGGCCGGCGGCTCTGGCGCCCCTGGAAGCGCGTCGTCGGTGCGAGGACCTTGCCCGGGGCCCCCGACCGGGACGACGACGAGGAGGTGGATGGCGGAGGCCCCGCGGACCGGTTTAGCGACGGGCACGAGCCGCTGCCCGGCGGGTGCAGCCTCATCTGCAAGCCGTCGGCGCTGGCCCAGTGCCTGCTGCGCTCCCTGCGACGCTCGGCGGCGCTCGAGCCCGGCCCGCGCTGCTGGCTCGCGGGGCCCCACCTGCAGACCCTCCGCCACTTTGTCCTGCCCGTGGGGCCCAGGCCAGAGCTGGCCCGGGAGTACCTGCAGTTGGCGGACGACGGGCTGGTGGCCCTGGACTGGGTCGTGGGACCTTGTGGCCGGGGCCGCAGGGTCACCAACGCCGGGGGCCTTCCAGCGGTGCTGCTGGTGATCCCCAATGCGTGGGGGCGGCTCACCCGCAACGTGCTCGGCCTCTGCTTGCTCGCCCTGGAGCGCGGCTACTACCCGGTCGTCTTCCACCGCCGCGGCCACCACGGCTGCCCGCTGGTCAGCCCCCGGCTGCAGCCTTTTGGGGACCCGTCTGACCTCAAGGAGGCAGTCACTTACATCCGCTTCCGACACCCCGCGGCCCCGCTGTTCGCGGTGAGCGAGGGCTCGGGCTCGGCGCTGCTGCTGTCTTACCTGGGCGAGTGCGGCTCCTCCAGCTACGTGACAGGGGCCGCCTGCATCTCGCCGGTGCTACGCTGCCGTGAGTGGTTCGAGGCCCGCCTGCCCTGGCCTTACGAGCGAGGCTTTCTGCTCCACCAGAAGATCGTCCTCAGCAGGTGGGTGCCGGAGGCCGCATATGCGCACGGAGGGCTTGAGCTGGCCTAGAAACAGCTCTGCATGGTATTGAATAGGTGTGGGCCAATTGGGGGACATTTTCCAAAATCCGTCCCAACCCCATAGTCTAGACAGAACCAGGGAAGCAGGTTTAAAGGCCATAGACGGACTCAGCCCGCATGATTGCACTAGAGCACGGACTCCCGCCGGGCCCCCTTGCCTCATCGCGGCCCCCCGGGTGTCCTAGCAACCTGAGCACTTGGCCCACTGGCAGCAGAGGCGGCACCTGACATTTACCACTTAGTCCGCAGCTTGACAAATCAGCAAAGAGGGCTCTGGAAGCTGTTGCAACCGATGATGTTTACTTACAGTCTCTGAGCCTGGAGATGACAGGCGTCAGAAAAAAATGGTGGCATTTGATGCATTAGGATTCCCAGACCTCACAAATGTTTTCATATTCCTAGGTATGTACTCAATATTTTATACAAAAAAAATTTTTTTAAATATTTAAACAATTTTTAAAAATCTCCAGAAGAAGAACACTTTACTACCAGAACAACAGGAGAGACTTTTCCACTGAGGAGGCCTGAGTGACATTCCCAGCCTGCACTCTTTCCTCCCTAGAAGAGGCAGAATGAGGTTAAAGACACTGTGGTGTAGCAGAAAGGCCTGGGGTATGGGATCAGACCCACTTGGGTTGAAATCCTGAATTTCCTGCAAGTTAGCTTGGAGCCTTACTTCCCTCTTCAATTAAATGGGGTTAATGATAACCAACTCCTAAGGTGGTTGGGATCATTAAAACAGAAAGCGAAACTAAGGACCTGACACTGGGTATCCGGGCACTCAATAAATGGTGGCAATTGTGATTTCTCTTTCCTTACTCAGCCCATTTTGCCTTCTATTCTGAGAAGGTCAAGCCCTGAGCTCAACAGCAGCCCAAAGCATTGCCATGGCAATGCAGGGGCACTGGCGCAGTTCAGGGCCAAGGTGCTTCACCTGGCTCAATTGCCATATTTCCATCTTAAAGTGACCACCACCAGCACTGACCAGGGCACTAGCTGGAGGGTAGAGGAGGGCGGTGAAGAGAAACTCTACATGTTTAGGAACTGCCCTTCCCATGACAGTCTGGGATTGAAAATTTGGGGCCGGCATCTTTGAATGTTTGCAGAAGACACACATCCGATTTCAACTGGCTGAGGCTAGATTGATCTACTCAAAGGACTGAGCTCCTTGTCGGGGTGCCAGGCCCTTTCCAGGAAGCTGGAAGCAGCAAGGATGTCCGTCTTCTCCAAAGCTCTCAGGCCCCTCTGGGAACCCACCTAATAAATTAATTACACTCCCAGTCGCCTCCTCTTCCACCCAGCACTCTCTAGGAATTCCTGCCTCAGGTATACCTGATTAAGGTCACATTTCATTTGCCATTATCAGAACAGCAACATTACCTTAAAAAAATACAAACAACAAATGCAACCTACAGTTAAATGTGAATGATTTGGGGGAGGCTGTCACCTGCTGGCTTGGATAGTCTGAGCCAGTGAGATCTTCTAGGAGGGGTTCAGAAAATGACAGTCCGTAGCAAGTTCCCCACAGAAAGCCAGAAGTTGAGGTTAGGACAAGAGCTGTCCCTGTAGATCAGCAGGGACAAATGTTGCCCATAGGACTGGGCAGGCAGGTGCAGTTAATGCCATGAGCAACAAGCCTGCTGGGCACGGTGACGCAGGAGAGAGGGAACTGACTGTTGCCCTGACGAACGCCAGCCCATGTGGCCAGCTCCTCCCATATCCCTAGAGAAGCCAGACATCTGTATTTTATGTGAAATCTCCTGATTTTAAATGGAGACCATGAAATGGAAGTCTTTCGAGTTTTTTTGGTGTTTTGTTTTGTTTTGTCTGTTCTGTCTCACTCTGTTGCCCAGGCTGGAGTGCAGTGGCGCTCATAGCTCACTGCAACCTCAAACTCCCAGGCTCAAACCATCCTCCTGCCTCAGCCTCCTGAGTAGCTGGGACTACAGGCACATGCCACCACGCCCAATTTTTCTACTTTTTGTAAAGATTGGGTCTTGCTCTTGCTCTGGCTGGTCTCAAACTCCTGACCTCAAGAGATCCTCCAGCCTCGGCCTTCCAAAGTGCTAGGATGACAGGTGGTGAGCCACCCCGCCCGGCCAAAATGGAAGTTTTTAAAAGCCCAATACAGCCCAAGAAAGCCTCTGTGGCCAGCATGTGGCCCGCAGGCTGCCACTCTGTCACTTCTGCTGTCAGCTGGTGTTCCGATTCTTCCTTCTCTTTCTCACCTTCCCCCTTCAACTTCTCCGTGCCAGGTACGCCACGGCCCTGGAGGACACAGTGGATACCAGCAAACTGTTCGGGAGCCGCTCCCTTCGAGAGTTTGAGGAGACCCTCTTCTGCCATACCAAAAGTTCCCCCATCAGCTGGGATACCTACTGGGACCGCAACGACCCTCTCCGGGATGTGGACGAGGCGGCCGTGCCCGTGCTGTGCATCTGCAGCGCTGACGACCCCGTGTGCGGGCCCCCAGACCACGCTCTGCCCACGGAACTCTTCCACAGCAACCCCTACTTCTTCCTCCTGCTCAGCCGCCACGGGGGCCACTGCGGCTTCCTGCGCCAGGAGCCCCTGCCGGCCTGGAGCCACGAGGTCATCTTGGAGTCCTTCCGGGCCTTGACTGAATTCTTCCGCATGGAAGAGAGGATGAAAGGACTGAGCAGGCGCAGAGCTTCATTCCTAGGGGGCCGGCGTCGCTGGGGGAGCCTGCAGAAGCGGGAGGTCTCTCCCTCTTCCAGTCTGGAGGAGATCTTTAGCTGGAAGCGATCATACACAAGGTGAGACCTGGCCCGAGAACCACCCCCACTCTCGCAAGACAACACGTGGGAGTCCCGAAAAGATGGCGAGGACTGAATGGGCAGCTCCAGCTCTATGCTCCTGATTCAGCCCCTTCTCTCTTAAACTGGTCTGTGCACAGGTGGGACTTCCAGCAAGCCTGTGCTCACTTCACCCTGAGCAGAGCTCCTGCCCAGGCAGCGCTCGACACATTCCTGCTCGTCCTGATTAGCAGCAGAGCATTCCCGGTCTCTGTCTTCTGTCACCGACTTCACAGCCAAAGAATAGCACCTTTTAAGTCCATGGACTCAGGAGAAAATGCTCTCTTACTAGCAATGGCTGCTGGCATGATTAATGTATGCTCGTCATGGGGCAGCTCTGTCCCACATAAATATTTTAATAATTTAGCTCGGTGACCCTGATTCCCGAGCTGGAGCCACTTGATGTAGTAAGGACAGGATGTTTGTGTCTCGGTCCCACTTCCCGAATTTGCTTTGTGGTGTGGTGCGCCGCTCTGACTTACTAGAGCTGCTCGGCTATTTCAGGCTCGTGTGAGTGAGAAAGGAAGCAGTAGGTGCTGTGCTGGGACTGGCTTGGCGAGGGCTAAGGTAGAAAATGTGAATGCCTTTGCCTGGAACACCTTAGTCTACTAGTCTCAGAGGAGCTCTGCAAGTCTCAGCCGGGAATGGAGCTGATCTAGGGTTTGAGCATGGGACCAGGCCTCTCTGGAGAGATCCCAAGGGTGTTTTGGGAATGGGAAGTGTTCTCACACAGGGTCTGAGAGTTCTGCTAGACTATAGTTCGGGTACCCCACATGCTCTCTTCAGTACCATTGCAGGGGATTATCACAGACAGCTCCAGCCACAGTAGTTTTTCTTCTGAGACGTGGGCTTTCTCTGCGTCAGTGAAAAGTACAAACCTTATTGAGTAGTTGTTTTCTGGTTAGTTGCTCCCTTTTCTGACACTACTACTGGCCTCTCCCTTTCCAGAGCCAGGAGAGACATCTGGGACCAGGAGGACAAAAGCACCAAGAGGTTGACTAGAGCTGACTCCATGATTTATGAATATTTCACATTGCCATGCTTTGTCTGCTCAATTATTCAAAAGGCCATCCATGTAAAGGCAGAAAAGCTTCTTTCTGGATCTGGCCACTCAGCAATTAAGTGGGTATTTGGTTTTATGAGGAATAATGCTGAAGTCCAGAGTAAAATAAGATATAGTGTACAGATTGATCTACATATGCTGGTTTGGATTAGGCCATTAAAATTGTCTTGACAATAGAACATCTGTTTCCATGTGTTGCTAAGATTCAAAAGCTTTGCCCTGGGCTGGGCACGGTGGCTCATGCCTGTAATCCTAGCACTTTGGGAGGCAGAGGCAGGAGGATTGCTTGAGGTCAGGAGTTTGAGACCAGCCTGAGCAAGAGCGAGACACTGTCCCTACAGAAGGTAGAGAAAAACAGCCAGGTGTGGTGGCACCCACCTGTAGTCCCAGCTACTCAGGAGGCTGAGGCAGGAGGATCACTTGAGCCCAGGAGTTTGAGGCTGCAGTAAGCTATGATGATGCCACTGCACTCTATGCAAGGTGACAGAGCAAAACCCTGTCTTAGAAAAAAGAAAAGAAAAAAAAGCGTTGCCTTGAAGTTTCATTTTAATTTGTCATTGAGAAAGAGGGCACCTATTTTGACCTCACAAACAGCAAAGGAGTTGTAAAGAGGAGAACTATTTATACCAAAAACCACATCCCAAAGCTTGGTATGAGGTGTTCCTAGAGCCATGATTTCAGGTTTGGATAATCTTGCCCCAGCCTTGTTCTTCTAGATCAAATAAGAAGAAACTCTGAACTAACTCCAAGAATCTAAACTGAAATACAGGCAATATTCGATTGTCTAAGGCACTTTATCCTGTTGTGAAAAAGTTATCTCCCTCCTTCCCCACTCCTTATTCCTCCTCCTCCACATTCCTTGTCTAACATTCTTTCACAATTTCTAAGCAAGAGAAATAAAAAAGGAACTGAAATCTAAAGAAGCCATTCTACTGCTGGTGAACAACAGCCTTGGTATAAAGGCAGGGTGAGGATGAATTACGGACATCTGGCTTCTCCCCGCCGCAGGCCCCCACATCTGGTACAGTGGGGATTTCGGTTAATTAGGGTCCTGCAGTCCCAGCTGCCCTAGGATCATTCAGAACTGACTGCAAAATGGGAAGCAGCTCAGTGGTTTTTAAACCCAAAGTCCTAGAGAGTCCCTAAGGGTGAAAATCTGGATAGTTATGCTAGACCAGATACTACAAGACTCTGGTTCTTCAAGAGAATTGCTTTTGGAAAAACAAAGCTTTCCATTTTTATAGGAAAGAAAGCTTTCCAGGGAGGGGAATATATATACTTCACAGTAACCGTCTTAAAACTCTCAGAATGGCAGTACAATCCCAGTTCAGGTTCCGTGGATTCCCTTTTACCCTGAGCTCCAATGACCTAAAGCCCAAAGTATTTCTTCTCCAAGCCTCTCGGGCCAGATGTGCTCATTGCATATCTCAGGAACCTACTTCTCTCTTATCTTCCTATCACTGAAGACTAGGGCTGTATAGTTCCTGTTCAGGCAGGAAAGGTTTGGGTGACCCCATCCTTTAGCCTAACAGTGAAAGAATCACCCACCTTGGCTCTGGTTGGTGAACAGCTAATCATGGGAAACCAGCTGGAGGAGCTCCAGGCACACTATTTGGAGAATGTGGGGCCCTTGAACAAAATGGCAAGTTATGAGTTTGAGGAAGCAAGAAACAAACAACAAAGCAAACCAAACCTGCAAACACCTAAGAAGTACCACCGGGTTGGTTTCCAGGTGGTGGATCTTCAGCAATCCTCAAGCTTCATTCCTTGTTTGCCTCCCTTTTGGTGTCTTCGTTATTTAGACACCCCTTCAAATGGTAAGGGAGAGAAAAAACAAACAATAAGAAACCCAGTGACTTAAGGGAGGCATTAACTCAGAGGTAGAGATTGAGTCATCTGTCAGGATCAGAATGCAGCAAGCAAACTGCCTCTGAAGGTTTCTTTGAGCTCTGATCTCTGATATCAAGACTGTGCTAAGCTATAACTTAATTCTCATAAAGATTTAGTATTTTATGTATTTATACATAGGTTTCTAGGGTGGCTTGGCTGGAGATGACAGTATGAAAAACAAAGCACTAAATTCTCTGAGAAGCCATCATCATCTCTGTTTTGAGTGAATATATTCTTTCTAAGTAACTTGAGTACTGTTAGAAAAGAGGTCTCAACACAGGAAATGTCATCTTAGGTTTATACACAATCTCAAAACCACCCCACAGTCAGAAACTCTGTATTCATCTTCCACCCAAACCACAAGATCTTTTGTTAGGCAGTTACCCTTAGTAATGCCAAGGTATCTTCCTTTAGAAATGAACTTCTCTCCCTGCAAGCAGATATACTTGCCCACTTTGGTAGAACCTGATAATAATGTCAAAAAGGAATCAAGCCACAAAGGATGACATCAAAAATTGTTTTCACTGGTTATTCCAATTTGCAGAGATAAGATTGCATTAGGAAGACTTGAGAAGTTATACACAGGGATTGTCCGAGTACCTGGAGATGAAACGAATGTGTCAGAAAACACTAAGTCCCACGTCATCTGTGGGATATTCAAGCTAGACTGCCTCTTGGCATATACCATGGAGAAGGACAGGTGCCAAGAATGAGGGTGGCCTAGATCAGATGTAAGTTCTCTTCTCATTTGAGAGTCTATGAATTGAAATAAATAATGCTAATGATCTCAGTGGGTTGTAAAGACTTCTGTTTGGTTTTTGAGCCTGAAGATCAGGAGACCACAGACCTGACCTGGATACTGGGAGTTGGGAGATGACTTCGATTTTAATAAAAATAACCCTGCCAAAGTGACCGGAATATGTTTTCACGGTATCCAGTATTTATGCTCAAGTCTCAAGTGCCCAGGAAGAGCTAAAATTTCGGAGGTAAAATGGACCTTCAGCCAGGCACAGTGGTGTGCGCCTGTAGTCCCAGCTACTGGGGGAGGCTGAGCTGGGAGGATCATTTGAGCCCAGGAGTTCAAGTCCAGCCTGGGCAACATAGTGCGACTGCATCTCTCAAAAACAAAACAAAACAAAAATTTTAAAAAGAAAGGAATTTCATTAAAAAAACTAAAAACACTAACACATCAAAAATAAATATCTCTAGATCCTCCAGCCTTTCCTTGTAATAAGGCAATACCTTGCCCCAGTGCTTATCACTAGTGTGGTTGAGCAAAAGATTTCTCTCTCCCTTGTTTGCTTCTGAATAGTAAATAAATCAGTCTCCCTGTAACACTGGAATGTTATTTTTTAAAGCTATCGAAACAAATAGGTGCTGTTTGTCTTCTGAAGCCCTCTGTGTACTGAGCCATGCTTGCCTACTGCAGAGTTTAACAGCCTCCCTGCACATTCTGTATTCGCTGGTTGTTGCCTCACCTCTGTAGATCTAGCCTCATGTCCCCTGCCACTATTCAGTGGCAGCTGTGTTTAATCAACAACCAGTTCTCCTGGTCTGGGCTAATCACTTCTCAGCAGGCTCAAAATTCCCTGATCATCAATGAGACACTGATGTCTACAATAGAGACTTTTTCAATGGGCAATTAGTATTTGTGTGTTGATAGAGTACTGAAGTGGTAGTCTTGAAACTGCTCTTGGCCAGGCAAGGTGGCTCACGCCTGTAATCCTAGCACTCTGGGAGGCCGAATCAGGCGGATTGCTCGAGGTCAGGAGTTTGAAACCAGCCTGAGCAAGAGCGAGACCCTGTCTCTACTATAAATAGAAAGAAATTAATTGGCCAACTAATATATATACAAAAAATTAGCTGGGCGTGGTGGTGCATGCCTGTAGTCCCAGCTACTCGGGAGGCTGAGGCAGGAGGATTGCTTGAGCCCAGGAGTTTGAGGTTGCTGTGAGCTAGGCTGACGCCACGGCACTCACTCTAGCCTGGGCAACAAAGCGAGACTCTGTCTCAAAAGAATAAATAAATAAATACAAATAAATCCCAGCCCATGAGCATTCCCTCCCATCCCCCATTAGCCTTCTGACAAAAAAGTTACTTGAACAGTTTTAAACAATGGGACTGGATTAGATGGTCTGTTTCCATCTAATTTAGTATGGGGCTAAAATGTGAAGATTTTCAAAAGATCTCACCTTTTGAAGCTTTATACAAGGTCCAAGAGAACTACCTACATTTATGTGTCTGAAGAGCTGCAGTTATATAGACCACAATGTAGAAATAAACGTAAGCACCTGCATCAAACAGAATCACCTCGCATCCAGAACACTATAGGCCACTTCACTGGGCAGACAGGTGAGGCTATTAGACTATGTCTTTATCGGATAGTTCACTCTACCCATATCTTACTCATTTTATAACCCCAACATCCACAACAGTGCCTGAGGTTCAGTAATCATACAACAGATAGTAAATGAATAGAAATATACCTCAACTTTATGAGAATAAAGTTGTTTTAAAAAACTGAGCAGACACTCTGTGTACTAAAATTACTTTATTACAGTTTGATTTTTTTAAACATTTCCTTTGCTATGATACAAAGGATACTTACAAACAAAATATTACATATGACCTTGTTTTCGCTCTTATGTTCTGACAACTTGGTAACAGCTTTAAATGCACAATCTATACAATTAATACAGGTTATATATGAACTATAAGGTATGCTGAACCAGAAGAATACTGACGATATACTGTACAATAAGCCTTACCAGTTAGTGCTGTGGACCATTTCTACCAAAAGGAAAATGCACATCTGTACAGTCACCTTTACCAGCTGGTGCTGACAGCAAGGGAGAGGCCTCTTTCCCATTGCAACCCTTGATAAGCCTCCACTGTGGGCGTCTGGTCCGAAAATTGAGAGGACAGTGTATAATTTAAAATTAGTCATTGGTAAAGTGGTAGAACACACACTTTCAACATGATACTCTCTCACCCAAAAATCAGTCCCAGTTTTAAAAGACCACAAGTCCTTTGTCCACTATGAAAAACCCTACAGGCTCAAGGGCTTTGGGAGATGAGAAGATGAAGGCTGCCAAAAAAGGAGGCAAGAAACCAAGCCAAAATCTAGGTCTTGCAAAATCATCATTTTTCCCTTCACCAAAGGGAACTAGAAATGTACAAATTCATTGATGAACCTCAATGATAACGTATCAGTTAGCTGATAACCCTCATTTTATCTGGACCCCGACTTGTGGGAATAACTGAAATAGACTGTGGATAATATATACCA